TATACAATGGAGTATTACTCTGCTATAAAGAAGAATGAAATCGTACCATTTGGGACAATATGGATGGACCTAGAGTCTATTATGTTAAGTGAAATAAGTCAGTCAGAGAAAGACAAGTACCATATGATTTCACTTATATGTGGAATCTAAAAAACTGAATGAATAAGCAAAGTAAACAGAAGTGGTCTAGAGATATAGAGGAACAACTGATGGCTGCTAGTTGGGAGGGTATAGGGATGAGGTAGAAAGGGAAGGGGTTAGACAGCATAAATACGTAACTACAATATTGTCACAAGGACATGAAAGACAGTTTGAGGAATATAATTAATAATGTTGTAAATATTTTGTAGGGTGTCAGATGGTCACACGTCTTGCTAGGGAGACTGCATCATGGATGGGGTAGAGGCTTGATCACTGCACTGCACACCTGAAGTTGATGTTGTATAATATTGGATGTCAACTATAAGTGAATATATGTGTGTGTGTGTGTGTGTGTGTGTGTGTGTGTGTGTGTGTGTATATACACACACACACACACACACACACACATATATAGTCATGGGACGGGGAGTACAGTGTGGGAGTGGAGTCAAGGGAATTGTAATAGAGATGTATGATACTGGGGGGGGAAGTGGGGCGGCGGATTGGGAGAGGGGGGTTGTCACCTCGAGGGGCAAAAAGTAAAACTATTACACTGTGTCGTACAGCTGAAACTAATTCTAAAAAATGTGTATTTCACAATTTAAAAAAACAAACACCTAGCAAGTATAGTAATACCTTGGTTTGCATGCATAATTTGTTCCGGAAACAAACTACTCGTATTGCAAGACATCGCTCGTTTACCACGTTAAAATGTATTAGAAATGTTTACTTGTCTTGCGGAACACTCGCAAAACAAGTTACTCGCAATCCAAGGTTTTACTGTATCTGGCAGAAAATAGATGCTTAATTAACATGTGTGCTCTCTCTTCTATCACTAAGATGGCAGAACACAGGGCTGGCCAAGTGGCGTGTTGGTTAAGAGCTGGCTTGGGACGCCAGCTCTGAGCAGCAGGGCTCCGGTTCGGATCCCACATGAGGGCCAGTGACACTGCCCTCTACAGCTAAGATGGTGAACAACAGCTCGACCTGGAGCTGGGCTGCCATGAGTCGCCGGCAATGGCATAGGCTGCAGCTCCTGCTGCAGTAGACTGCCATAAGCTACTGTGTGTGGCCAGCAGCCAGCGTGAGCAGCCGGCAGCTGGTGTGAGCTGCCAAGAGCCGCCATGAGCAGCCGTCCAGAGGCCGGCGACTGATCTGCCTCACCCAGGAAGAGTGCAATGATAATACCAACATGGGCCAGTGAAGCAACATCCTCCACAACTAGACTGAAGAACAAAAGGACAGCAACTTGTCTGTTCCCCTCCCTCAATTTCCCAATAAAAAAAATCTTAAAAAAAAAGAAAAAGATGGCAGAACACAACTTACTAAGGTTCACAGGTGACTGACTTGTCTTTAACCCTTTCCTCCATTGCTTAGAGAATACACCGTGACGAGTGTCCAAAGCAATCCACCATCAGCTCTTCAAAAGAAGTTTTAGTGGCTTTGCATGAAATAGAAAAGTGACTGGAAAAGAAACTTAAAATAATAATCACCTGATGCAAGGGTAAACAACAACGAGATACCATTTTTCGCCCATCACACTGATGGGTGAGCCACTGTGCTGGTGCAGTCATGCGCACATTGGACCCAACAATCCATTCAACTTCCAGAGGCAACTTGCCCGCAGCTATCAAAATTACTTCAGGCACATTCCACTTGGCCTAGCAATTCCAATTCCAGGAATTTCTCCTATAGGAATATTCACACATGCACAAAATGTGTGGAAAATCAGCTTATAATATTTTTTTAAAAAGGAAAACCCAATTATCCACCAGCGGGGGACAAGTTGGTACCTCTAGACAACAAAATCAGGGAGCTCTTTTGTACTGAATTGGGATGATCTCCAAGAAACACATCAGTGGAAGAAACAAGGTGGGGAAAAAACTATATATTACTTGTACAGGCATGCCTCATTTTACTGTGCTTCAGATACCGTGTTTTCATCAAGACCCTCCACCAGCAAAAAGATAACCACACAATGAAGGCTCAGATGACTTCTTAGCAAAAACATATTTTTAAATGAAGATACGTAGTTTTTTTGGACATGCTATTGCACACTTAATAGACTACAGTATAGTGAGTGTAAATGTAAGTTTTATATGCACTGGGAAACCAAAAATTCATGCGACTCACTTTATTTGCAGTGGTCTGGAACTGAACCCACAACATCTCCAAGGTATGTCTAGATTATGCATAAACTGTAGATGGAAAGATACACAAAGAAACTGTAACAGGGCCCAGAGTGGGAAACTTCACATTACTCTTAATAGTCACTATCTTGACTAAATCTAAACCATTTTAGAGCTAAAAGTAAATTTTTACGAAGGAAGCGGGGAAATGGGGAGTTACTGTTCAATGGGTAACGAATTTCAGTTTAGAATGATGAAAAAGCTCTGGCGATGGATGGTGGTGGTGGTTGCACATCAGTGGGAATGTACTTAATGCCACAGAACTGTATACTTAAAAAAGGTGAAAATGACAAATCCTACTTAGGTGCATTTTACCACAAGAAAAAGGCCAATGTACGTAAAATGTGGCAATCCACTTCAACCGTGAAAAAAGAATCCTTAATTGTATGGAAAATGGGGAGAGGGGTTTGGAAGCGTCTGTCTCTGAAGCAGTCCATCCCTTAGCCGCCCCCACCCAGTGGCACTGGTCGGTGTAGGGAGATGTGGCGGGGCTACAGAAGGTCCCCGGAGATGAGACCCCAGGCAGCGGCAAGAACCCGGGGGATCGTGAGCAGCCGCGCTGGGACCCGCTTAACCTTCGGTCCCGAGAACAACCCGGCGCAGTCACCCGATCTTCCGTCCGGAGCTGCTGGGGCGTCTGCCCTCCCGTACCCGCTGTCTCCTCTCAGCCTGGACATCCACTCAGGTGCAGCCCGCTCATCACTTCCACCGGTCCGCGGGGAAATACCCTGGAACCCTGCCCCTCGACCCCGTTCGCTTCGCCCCCCGGAAGGCCGCCTCCCCGCGCCTGCGCACATCCCGCGCTTACGCGACTGTGCGCCTTGGGAGGTGCCGCGCCTGCGCAGAGCCGGCGTGTGCCTACTCTGGACCTCCAAATGGGCTTAGCGTCAGCAGGCCATCGTCCGATCCCGCTCATTGGCTGAGAGGTGGAGCGTGGGCCAGATCCGCTGCTGATTGGACAGCGCACGAACAGCTGGGGTCGCGTGGGTCACTGGAGGGAACTTCTGCGGCGCGTATCTGGACGGCTGAAGGCTGTGGGCTGGAGTTGCCGAGTTCTTCGGCCATGGCCTCGGAGAAGCCGCTTGTGGCCGTGACCTGCACCGCGCCGGTCAACATCGCGGTCATCAAGTACTGTGAGTGCACAGGCCGTGGGTGCGGACATGGGTGCGACAGCCTGGCGCGGGTGGGCTGGATGGATCCTTGGGCTCGTCCCCTCTTGTGAGGACGCGGTTGGAGGTCCACGTGCAGTTGTGAGCACTCACCCCAGCTCTCCACCCGGCCCGGCAGTGTGGCTTGCCGAATCTTGGGCCCACGCTGCAGGCGGGACACTTTGGGGGGACACTGTCCACATTGGACGTTCATCCTCGCGGGGCCCGGGACACTTGGTGGAAATGGTCCATACAGGATGTCCATCCCCAAGGAGGGCTCAGCTGCCACGGTCACGCCCACTCCGGCCACCTCGGGCCTGTTTTTCATTTCTAGCATGTTCTCTTTTCAAGAATGCACCGTAAGTGGAATCGTTCAGCGTGTAGCGTTTTGGGATTGGCTCATTTCACTCACTATAATTTCTGGAGGTTCATCCAGGTGGTAGCGGCACCTGCACTAAGTTCCTTTAGTGCTGAGTCTTGTTCGCTGGTGTGGATGGGCCACAGTTTGCCTAGTCATACACCCTTTGAAAGGCAGCAGGGTTGTTTCCAGGTTTGGTCTATTAGGAATAAAGCTGCTATAAACTTTTGTGTTTGAGTGTTTGTATGAATATGTTTTCTTTTTTTTTTTTTTTTTTTTTTTTTTTTTTTTTTTTTTTTTTTTTT